GAGGAGAAAACGGGAATTTGGTGCGAAGACAATATAAAGGAAGCTGGTGTCACTGTAAATGTGAGAGAGGAGGGGCTACAGGCTTACTTAAAAAAGCGAGTGAACGGAACAGACCCCGCTCCCAGAGGAGATGGTACTTGAAGGGTGTAGTTCTGGGGCCGCCAGGCTGCACCGGCTTTGAGTAAGTCTGATGACAGCTACCTTCCTGTGATACTTTGTTCCATTTGTGAGCAATCAAAGGATCTTATGAGGGAATGGATTTATTTCCAGGTACGTCCTCTAGGAAAGTTGACACAGTTGTTCTGGGGCTGTAAAATGGGCAGGAATAGCCTCTCAGACAGAAGCATCGATGAGAATGGATGCTTCCGTGTCCTCTTCGTCTTTCAAAATTGGACTAAGAATCTGTGACGTACCACAGAAGGAGGGAAAAACCCCACAGTCCCAGCCTCAACAGAGAGGCCAACCTGTAAGCTTACGTAAACCTTCCTGCATCTGTTCCGCTCCCCAGATCTACAGTATTAGTCCCCGGAGCCACACTCAGCGCCTCCCACTGAGATTTTTTTTTTTTTAATTCAAGCTGGTTTAGGCTTCCTATCCAAAGCGCGTGTGATTTGGCAACATGATGGAGACAAACCCCCGGAAGCATCGTCTGTAGTCTTCTTATCAGGCTGCCTCCCTACACAGGCCACATTTCGTTTGTTTCTTTACTTTTATTTCCTGGCCATCCTTGTCAAACCAATAACGAAAGGTAGCGAACCTGTGTTTGAACCTGTGTTTGGTTTCAATGTCCCAAAATTTGTTGAAATGAGGTCTGAGGGCAGAAGCATTTTTAACAAGGCAGTTAACTTGAAGCAGTAGGTGTTTCTAAAGAGTAGCATGTTAGTAGGAAAGCTCTCAGTGCAGTTCAGTCTTCACAAAACGCCTTCGATGGCACTGGTGGTGTGACACGTGCCGCGGTTACAGGAGGTTGTTTCGATGAGAGGAGAGGAAGGATTTCAGTGAAGTTTTCATCTCAAGGGTATTGTGATCAAGGAGGGGTTATCAAGCCATCAGTAGCCTTGGTCCCTTTCCTGGAAATACAAATAAGGCCTCCTTTAGACGTGTCCAATCAACCATCAGTTTTGGTTTATCTTTACAAATTAATTTAACCAGAGAATAAATTCGGTTGGATTCTCACAAATCCTGAAGGTCAAGAAAGCAAAACCCAGATTGCCTACAAGTGGCATCTGGTGCCATTAAGCACTGCGGTGTTTCAACCTCCAGAAATCATTATTAGTTTGAAGGTGCTGAGGGGGAGGGTATAGCTCAGTGGCAGAGCACGTGCCTAGCACTGACGAAGTACTGGTATCTCCATTAAAAATAAATACATAAATAAAACGAATTAACCTCCCCCCCATTGAAAAAAACCTAACAATCAGTTTGAAGATGCTGGCTCCCACCCATCAGTGTTCAAGCCTCTCCCCTATCCCAGGTACTTTGTAAGGCACCAGTCGTATGTTTTAGAGCAGATTCCTAAAAACAGCCTGAGATGAAAGCTTATGTGCTAACATTTTACTGGGGAACACAATCGCAGAGAAGGGGAAGGGAGGAGAAAGGAGGAATGCAGTGAGGAACTCAGGACACACGTGGGAATGGCCCCTGGCCCTTAGGAGTGGACACTCTTTCTGAAGAGACACACGGGTAAGAGGATGTACCACAGCACATGGCCACTACAGTTCGGAGAAACTGGCAGCGTGCCACGTGAGCCACGAAGACAAGGCAGCTAACCTGGTCAGAGGAAGGTGTGGAGACGTAGGAGTCGTTCATACAACAGGAGACACATGAGTCGGTTCTTGAGAGCTGAGTGAGAGTCTGTCAAGTGAAAAGGAAACGAAAGAGAACTCCTGGCAAAATGAACAAGGTGTGGAAGATGCACAATGCGTACAGGTGAACTTGTACTTCAGAAGGGCGGCAGTGGCTCCACACACCAGATGTAGAGAGCTCAAAAGACTGTTAAATTGACAGTGGACTCCCAGCCACGCAAGCTAGAAGACACTCCATGTCCGTCATTCCAGGGCATCCAAGTGAGAGGAGGAAACTTGATTTTATGTCACTTAGGCCTGACATTTCAGAGATGGCCCTCCTAAAATTAACTGAGCTTACTTATAAATGTTCCTCTTTCATATGTAGGAAAACAAACAGAAAGGGCTAATAATCGGGACAAAAGAAAATATTTCCTAAAATCCAGTTCCTTGTGTACAGGTATCAGAACCCAAGCTGAGTGATCCTAAACTTTCTCTTTGAGAGATCACTAGTCTACTTCAGATCAGGGAGAGGATGTCCAGGGACCCCCCCCCCCCGGGTCTGGGAACATGCAGCACAGAAGCTACTTTTTACGTGAATGTTTTACTTAGCTGTCTACATTTAGGTTCTCGTATGGAAAGTAACCCTTAAAAATTATGTTAAAAATAATAAAAAATAAAAACAGGTAAATCTGGAAAAAAAACCCCAAAACCAAACTCATTCTATTCTCACCACATACCTCTAAGAGAGATGCTATTATACATAGATGCATAAACAGGCTCAGAGGGGTGTCATTTAGCCAGTAAGAGGAAGAGTTGGAATTCGGATATAAGGTATGTGGCAAGGATTAAATAATGTAATACATGGAAATTATCTAGCAAAGTACTAGTATTCAGTAGGCATTGATCAAAGGTTAGATCTCTTCCATGAGTTGTTTTCCCACCAATAACATTGGAAGAAGGCTCTGACTGCTTGGCTAAAGACTTCCTGTTTTCACCCTTGCAAGAAATCTCGCTGGGTGAGTTATGATTACTCAGTTGCCATTTTAAATTCATGCTGGAAATTACCTCAAGTGGGTATTTGTAACTTCCCACTTACCCTCGTCTCCTGTGAATAAAAAGCAAGTTATTTTCAGATTTTGGCCAGTAAATAGTCGTTGTACAGAGTAAAAGCAATAGGTTCAGATCCGTTATTACCTCATAAAATTGTGACATTTTTTGACATGTTCACTCAACACTTTGGTTCTGTCTTCACTAGAGATAGATTTGCATTGTGGAAGAATTTTGGTATATTAATATAGAAGATTATTCAAATTAGATATTTTGATGCCGACAGTTCAGCTCTGCAAAATTTCGGAAAAGTTCGACTTAAATATCTGGGCGGGGCAGCGGCTCAGGTTTGGTAGTGCGGAGAGTGCCCACTAGACGGCAGTATTGATCGTATTTCGCCGCCCCCACCCCTTTCGCCCCGCCGCAGCTCCCTGAAATTCTTATTTTTAACGCCCTTGCAGAACGAGTGGAAGTGTGCCGTGTTTCAGAGTTTGTCTAGCTGGTTTTGTACATGTTGCAGTGTTACCATATCGCTGATAATGAGCCAGATGGACTCGTACTGAGAACGAGAAGGGGAAGATGGTGGGAAGGGAGTGTTAGCGAGGCTGGAGAAGCATGCCTGCCCCCACTGGGTTGAGTTCCCCAAATGCGATGTTTTTGTCAGTTTTATAGAGTCCTCCCTGGTTTTGTTAAAAAGGAAAGCACTCTGGAAGCATCTTGCTGAGGGCACGGACGGTCCTCACAGTGCTTCGTGGTCAAGTAGAATTAATTAGCTTCCACCTTTTATCTATAAAAATTGAGGCAATACTTATTTATTTGTTATGAGGTTAAATATGATGTTCCATGTAACGTGCTTATCACGCCCCTGGCACTGGGTAAATTCTCAATAACGAGTAACTCATTTTTTAAATTTTTATTTTTTGTTTACCATATTAAAAGAAATGAAACATGCAACAGGAATACGCCTGATAAAAAATAGTTTCAAAAGTTTAAAAGCAGAAGAAAATTAGTCATGAGAAAAAAAAAATCAGTCATAAGAGAATAAGACATGAACATTTGCTGAGAGCTCGCTATGTTCCGGAAGCTGCCCTAAGCATTACTTTGGGGCATTTAAAATGTTGAAGTAAGACTGTGGAGTAGGTGGTTATCCGCCTTTGAGAGAGGAGGAAGCTGAGGTCATGTTCACAGCGAGTGGCTGAGCTGGAGAGTGAACTTGGTCTTTGTGGCCCCAGAGCCCACAAATGAGCCCAGAAGCCGAATGCCCATGAAGCTTTTAAAAAGAGAGACCAACTTGAAGGGATAAACTGTGATAGATCCGTGCAATAAATATTACTCCGCAATAAAAAGGAGTGGCTGCTAATGAACCCAACAACGTGAATGAATCTCAAATGCTCATGCTTAATGAAAGAAGCCAGACTGAAAAAACTACGTTTAAACTGAGTCTATTTATATAGCCTTCTGGAAGAAGCAAAACTACAAAGACAGAAAGCAGATCTGTGGTTGCCAGGGGCTGGGGGTTGGGAGAGGAGCTGACCACAGAGGGGCCAAAGGGACTTTTTGGGAAATGGTCTAGATCCTGAATATGGTGGAGGCTACACAACTCTTATGCTTTTGTCAAAATACATAGAACTATATGCCTAAAAGGGATGGGCTTTCCTGTGTGTTGCTTACAACCTGACTTAAAAAAGACCAACTAAAACAGAAACTATATGGTAACAAATGCCTGCATACTCTTGGAAAAAAGAGAACAGAAAGGTAAAAGAAAGGAGAATTTAAAAATAGCATAAAGCATTAAAGGTGTGTGTGGGAGGAACCCCCAAATAAGAAGACTCGTGAGATAACAATAGTGGGAAAAAGTGCTCAGAGACAGAAGGATAAGAACTATAAAGTGATTTACTCAGATGACAGTAGAAGGAATACGTATACACAACACTGCACCCAGTCAGCACAGGTAAGAGTCACCCGAGGAACTGGTTAAAATACAGATTACATTGTTTGGGCTGAATAATATTCCAGTGGGTGTATGTGTGTGTACACATTTTCCTTAAGAAGGAATAACAGTTATTTGTAACAACATGGATGGATCTAAAGGGTATTTCACTAAGTGAAATAAGCCAGACGGAGAAAGACAAAGACCATAAGAAGTCACTTACATGTGAATCTAAAAAAAATTTTTAAACTCTTATAAACAGAAAACAGACTGGTGGTTGCCAGAGGTGGGGGGGGGGCTAGTGGGTGGTGAATGAAATGGGTAAACATGGTTTAAAGGTACAAACTCCCAGTTATAAGTCCTGGGGATGTAACGGACAGCATGGTGACGATAGTTAATAATACTGTTTTGTGTATTTGAAAGTTGCTGAGGGAGTGAATCTCAGAAGTCCTCATCATAAGCAAAAAGAGTTATAAACGGTGATGGGTGTTTACTAGACACTGTGGTGATCATTTTGCAATATATACAAATGCTGAATCATTATATCGTACACCTGAAACTAACATAACTTTATGTCAATTATATCTAAATTAAAAAAAACACAGATTTCAAGGCCAATTCCAGTGACTCTCACCCAGTAGGACTGATACGGCCCAGAAATCTGCATTTTAAACAAAACACCCCAGGGGAAGTCGCTTTGAGATGCGGTGAATAGAAATTAAGACATTTAAAAAATAAACACAAAAATGATTGGGATGTTAAAGTACAAGGATCAAACCTGAGAATTAATGGCCATAAAATCAGACTCTCTCAGCGAGACAGAGGCTAATTCGCTTGGGTACCTGGAGTTCCCTGCAGGGGGTTCTAGGGTGTGGGCTGGGAAGGAAAACACCCCAGCAGCGTCCTCCAAGAGAGAGCGGCACCACCTTCTCTTTCCAGTACTGGCGAAACTGCCTCCCAAGCTCCCTCCCCCTTTCTTCCCTTGTTCTTCTCAGTCCACGTAGTTTGTAACAACCAAAGTGACCTTTCTAAGACCTGGAAAAGGGCCCGCCTATCACTTACCTACCAGGTTCCCCACGAGTTGCTCCTCTGCCTCTGACCTCGGCCTGTGACTCTCCCCTCTCTCGAGTCAGGTCCCAGCTCCGCTCTCTCTGCCGCTCCTGCGCCAAGCAGACTCCGGCCCGGCCCCGGCCTGGCCCCAGGGCTCCCACTCAACAATTCCTTCTCCTGCACGGTTACCCTGAGGGCTGCCTCTTCATCCTTCAGGGCTCGGCTCCAGTGCCTATTCCACCCTCCAGAGCCGTCTTCCCTGCACACCCAAGTCAAAGAGCCCCCTTCCTCCCCAGCAGTCACTCTATCCTGCCACCCTGTTTTATTTCTTCATTGCACTGTCAAAAATTATCTTAATTATCTGTTATGTCTATTTCACGCACACAGTCTTGTTTCCAACTGAATTCTGAGTGCCTAAAGCTTCCCTGGTGCTAACTGCTGTACCCAACGAGAGTGAATATACCTGACCACATTTATGAAGGCCTAATCATACTCGTGTCCATTTTATTAACTCTCTTCTTAAAAATCCTTATATTTTTTTCAGGTTGTTTGGGCAGATAGTTACAAGGTTGGCTGCGCAGTGCAATTTTGTCCTCGAGTTTCTGGCTTTGAAGGTTTTCAAGGTTTAGCACATTTTATATGCAACTACGGACCAGCGTAAGTGCTCAAATTAACCTCTTTCTGGAAAAAAAATCTATTTTAGAAGTAGTTATCTTCATTATAGAATATAAGCATCCCCTCCTCCGTGCTACCCGGGGTCTCCCTGACCCGCATCGTTGGAAGCACAGACATCTTACTGACCCCCCCACCCTGTGCCTCGCCACCGCTCAGTGGGCTAGTGGAAGAGGCGATTATACCTCTGAGGAGGAAATAAGTACCTCGATGAGCAGACAGTGGTACACTGCCTAGCATACCCTGGCCACCATACCTAAGGTTTTCTTGATCTTGTTACTCATATCTAAGCTTTTCTTTAAAGATCTGTCTTTTCTCTTTGCCAGAGTTCAAGGGCCTCAATCCGCTTATCCCTCAGGTGACCAGGGGAAACACTGAAAGTTTCTGCCTCTTTATTGGGCCGAATACTTGAGGTCCCTTTGTCTTAATCACCATCTAGACAAAATCCAGGCCTTTCCAGGAGCATGTTTCTCCCAGGATAAATTCTGCCATTCCCTAGAAGTCACAATTGCCTTGTTTTTAGCTTGTGTTTGAAATAGCAAGTTTCCCTTTTTCTTTATAGTATAGAATACACAATTAACAAAGAATGAAGTAGCATAAATTATTTTACTAAAAACATTTTGGAACGTAACCACTCAATGACTACTGTACTTCTTAGTCCAATGATCACTGTCCATTTTGGACATCTTTTATCATTGTTATCAGACTCTCTACTCCTTTCACCATTTTCCACAGTGTAGAATAAGCAGGAGGGCAAGTTTAATTTCTGAAACAACCTAAATTAATTTGGAGCAAAACAAGATTAGAACGTATATTTTTGGTTAGAAGTGAGGTGTTAATGAAAAATAATGTCTCTAAGGGGGTTCTTAACTTTGGAGATAAATTTATAGTACTAGGTTAGGGGAGTCCATGAATTCGGGTTAGAAAAGTTAACATCTTTTTCACTACTGTTGTAAATAACATTTCTTTAGGAATGAAGGTAACAGTCCAGTCATACCAGAGCACCTAGGACTGTACTGCGCTTCTTTGTGAATGTCACAGCTATGTTCATATCACATTCTCCTTACTGCATTTATCTCAGAAGTTGTTATTTATCACTACTTTGAAATTACTATAATCAGGCTCCCTGCTAGATCTTATCTAATGCTTAACAGAGAAGTACATGTTAGTACGTCTCAACTATTTTTTAACATTTTAATAACTAGCTCTATTTAATCAGTTAACTTTATAATTCCACGAGCTTTATTTTAAGCATGTAAAAACTAGAGTCAGAGTCCATAGGCTGCACCAGGCTGCCAGAGTGTACTGTGACACAAAAGAGTTAAGAACTCCTTTCCAAAAGCAGAGTTCTAAAAGAGATCAGTGCCATGGCAGGTTCATTGAAATAAACGTACAGCCTCCCATCGAGGCTACGCCAAAGCTATTCCTGGGGATATAAAATGTTTGGATACTACTTCACTTTCTAATCTGTGCTTTTGGTCAATGACTTACACTTGCCTCAGCCTCTAACTTTGGGGATAAAAAAAAATAATAGTATCTTTGTCACAGGATTACTGTGAAGACTGGTTTATTCAGGGATGCTTGGGACAGTGCCTAGCACATGAAGAGTGCTCAGTAATTATGGTGTTATTCCTATCACATCTTTTATGTGAAAACAAACTGCACTTTAGAAACTCCCCCACATCTCTTGTTATTCTTTTGGAAGGCAGTTACCCCAGTCAAATGGGTCTTATTCAGTAAAAACTATGAAGGCTTGTTAGACTGAGAACAAATGTGGGTCATGATAGCTTTTCTAAGATGGACAAGTGATCACACAGGCCAGACAGTAAGCAGACGGAGCACTGCCCTGAAGCCAGACAAATCCAGGTTTTGTTCTTTGGTATGTGTACACTGTGACTTTTGGCAAGTTACTTAATCTTTTAGAGTTTTAGTTTCCTCATCACTAAAACAGAAATAAAAATCACTTCCTCCCCAAGTTGTTTTAAGAATTAAGTGAGATGATTAAGATACAGGTTCATAGACATTGGCACGTAGAATGAACTCTGCAAACATTAGCAGGCTTCCATTTCTGCCTCTCTCCACTCCTCTCTCCAACCCTCTGAATCGGTGGACTTTCTCCTAGCCAAGGACTCATAATAAATAGCAATTGAAAAAGCAAAACAAAACAAAGCCAAAACTTTAATGGACATCTTTTTTCTACTTCCTAGAGGAAATTACCCCACCTGGCCATACAAAAAAGGGTCCACTTGCAGTGCCTGCCCCAGTAATGACAAGTGTCTGGACAACCTCTGTGGTGAGTAAAAGAAACAGTCTACCAGTAATACAGTGTGTTCAAATTCTTGTAACTCTCTACAGAGCTATTTATTTTATCCTAACAGCTATTTTCAGAAAGTGACATCAGGTAGCAATCAAATCAATGGCTTACTGGCCTAGGAATGAATACACGTTCAAGAGAAATTTAAAGAAGCAAATAATATCCTTTTTATTTAGAGTTAATCAGAACAAGAACAAATGACTCTAGTGTTGGAAACTGTAGACCCAAGATTTGCTAATTTCAGCAAGATCAGACTTTGTAAAACAAAGTCACCCAAAAGAATCTGAATTTTGTGATACCTGCCCAAAGCACCCAAGACTTGCATTTTCATCTGTAGGACTAAATAAATGAAGTAAAGCTGCAATGTGGCACTTTTTACTAGTAAGACAGAAGGCATTCAATGAGGAATCATGTAGAAGGCAAGTGAAGGTAACTTTCCAAGGATGTTTTATGTAATTTTGAAATATTAATACACAACTAGCCAAGAATGTATTTACGGCTCCTGTTCCAGACGCATTGTTTTCCATCCCAGTATGTTTTAAAGTTTTTGCCATGGTATGAAAAGGGAAACCTCAATTAAGCTATTACAGCTGTGCCAATCCTGTAGTACTTCTGTGTCCACATCTATAACCAGCTGAACCCCTCAGGGCTGCAGGGGTGCTTAGAGCAGAAAAAGGAGAGTAGACTGAACTTAACTGCATAAATTTTTGTTTGGCAAAAGTGCTTCATTGCTTACACATTTTCCAAGGTCCCCTCCAGGTCTAAAATTGTAAAATTCTTTTAAACTGCACGTTCCTTTCCTCCCGATTGTAAACACTGAATTCTCATTTTTACTCCACATACAGCAACACTTTATAGCCCAGCTTTCTGAGCTGGTCATGTCTCTCCAGTTCAGCCATTCCTTTTTTCTCTCATATTACTTTTGTTAAGAGAACCCAGTGACACGTACCCACAGTACAACAAATATCTTCTCAGAGTATCAATATATTAGCTGAATTTTTCATGTTGCTGCAACACTGCAAAGTGTATTATTATTATTTTCCCCCCAAGTTACGCTGTATGACATAGGAGTTAAAATCACAGATTTTCGAAACAATATGCCTGAGTTCAGTCTCCAGTTCCACCACTGTGACCTTGGGCAAGTGTCTGGACCTATTTCCTCAACAATAAAATGCAGACAATGGCACATCCTCAGGGGTTTGATGAAACGAATAGAAAAAAGTTATACTTAGAAAAGTGCTTGGCATACAGTATCAATCAATAAACACTGTCTTTCATCCCCAAATTCATACTCCGTGTAATCCCCAATCTTGGGTTTACCTTGTGTGCTAGTGTCTTCTTTATGCCCGAACTTTCAGGTGACGTTTTCATGCTCGTGAATAATCCTCATGATGCTTCCGTAAAGTCAGTGACAAAACCTGAGACAATTACTTTAAATCAGAGTGAAGGATAATTTAATTGTCACCGGTTACCTGTCTGTCCCACTAGACTGTAAATTCCAAACAGTGAGGAATTACGGCTATCTAATGCACCTTGGTAACCAAAGTGACTAGTCTGGCCGGCAAATAAGCACTAATTTGACTGCATGTTTCTCAAAAAAAAAAAAATCATTCTCTTTAAAAATCTACATAATTAGTAATACCACCACCAGCACAGTAAGAAGAAGAAAACTGCTGGAGTTTTAGTTTTTGCTCTTGGTTGGGGATCTAGCTAGAAATGGTCTCTAATTCTGTGGGATAAAATTCAGAAATTTAAGGGGTAGTCCAATAATGAAAAGCCCCTGGGCTCTTAAGAAAAACAAAGGAAAAGACATCCTAATTTACAGGGGGTAAAGGTTAGAGGATAAAGGCTTTTATTTAACAGATTCCATCTCTGACAAATAATGGCAAACAATGGAGGAAAAAAATCCCTTTGTGGTCTTCTAGATACTGTTGGTAGGTTCAATAAATACCAATGGAGGCCAGACCAGTGCAGCTTTGCATAAATGTGCTGGGCACACCAACAGTACACAAGCTGATTTTAGCTAGTGTGTGGATGTATATTTGTTTCACTATTCAAAAGTTGAATATTTAACATTAAAAAAATGTGTGTAAGAAAAAAATATAACTAGCACATCATACCTTGACTTCATGGATATAACTGCCAAGAAAAGGTAAAGAAGCAGAAGCTTTGTGGCAATTCATCACAGACAAAGCCCGGTCACATGTATGATGACCGAGGATGCTCACAAGTACCCAAAGGGCCAGCTCCTTGATGGATTCCACCACAGGAATCCAACAGCAGCTGCCACAGAGCTGGTGTGGAAAAGGTGTCTGACCATTTAATAAAAATGTGTAGGAAGGCCAGGGCAGATGGGGAATTTTCTTCCTGGTGCTCTGAATGTTAAAATCTGAATAAAGCTCAGTGGAAGAAGAGGGGTAATTATGAGTTTATGAGAACCAAATGCCCTACTGATAAATTAATGGATGAGAGACCCCTGTCTCTGTATCACTGACTGATCATAAGTAGCGTCATTCTTCCCAGGGAGCAACTTACTTTCAGGAAAATGTTTTAATAAATTGCTCACATTGATTACTACTAATATTTAGTTATTTTTATTTTTAATTCTAATGTTTTAATTTTATTTTAAATTGTATTTATTATCTGCCAGATATGATATGTAAAATGATTTTCCATTTATAATAGTGGTATATAAAAAGTTTATATATTAAGTTTATATAAAAAGTTGATTAAAAATATCATCAGTACAAAAAAAATCTTACATAATTAACCTCTGAATATCACTGCAATAAAGCCAAAGGAACAGTCAATGATTATAATTAAGAGACTTCGCTTTTAAAAATAAACAAAAGCCACGCCAGCAGCCACCCTTTTAATTTTTTTCTTTCTTCTCTCTGATTTTACAGCTAACCCACAGCGAGATAAAGTCACACGTATGTATATAAACCTTAAATTTTTTAAGACCTATGTGAGCTATGTTACTGCATTATGAGGAACAACAGTTAAGAGGCTATTTTATGTTTGTTTCACAGGTTACTATTCTGTTGTGTTTCCAGATTGGCCGATATATCCACGTAACAGACACCTGTCTCTCTTTCTCGTCATTAGTCCACCAATCATATTACTGACTGTTATAATTATCATTTTGGTCAAGTACAAATATCCTCATTTAGTTCCTTTCCATTAAAAAAAAAAGGAAAAACAGGAAAAAAACCCCTCATGTATGGCCTTTTTTTAAAAAAAAAGTAACACTGGGTGTATTTCTAATTTTAAAATATTTCAGAAAAAAAAAATACTTGCCGCAAACTATTACCCAAAAGAAGAAATTGTTCGACTTCCTAATGCTATAGGAGAAACTCATCTTTACTTTCCAGTTTCTCTGAATAAGCATTGTTTTCAGGCTGCCACAGCTGTGACTTTCCATAAATAACCTATCCCCCGCGTGCCTCAGCTTCTAAACATGTGAAATGAGTGAGCTAGACTTACGTGAGTCTAACTGCACTGACCCTCATTAGTAAAAACATCCCTGCATGACCTCTTGCATGCTGCTTCAACTCCAAAGATCTGGTTTCCCCGCTCTCTTGCACTCTGATATCGTTCTGGCTTACTCCTTCCTCAGACACAGAATGGAGTAGCAATTAAGGGATTTACTGTAGGAGGCCTTGCCTTTTTGGCTTAGGGGTTAATCTTGGGACAAAATATAAAGTGCGATTATAAAAAGGAATAAGCCTAAATGTTTCCTTGCTGTCATCAGAGAGAGCACTGAAAAATCTGCATGTATTTTCCTCAAAACCAAATGCTGGGCCATGACTTGTAAGAGTAACCAATGGCATCAGACATTGGATCTGATGGAGAATTACAATAGCCACATTCCAAAAATCTTCACATAGACAACCTAAAGAATTAATCCTAAAATCATGATTAGGCAAAACCTGCCTGGAATAGATTAGGTGCAATGCATACAAACACATATATACCACTTTCCAGTGTAAAATTTTTCAAAAAACACATGAAGAATACAATAATTTATAAAGAATAGCTGTTTATAGAAGCACTGTTATAAAGAACAAAACAAACAGAAAAAATTGATGAGAGTATTACTTCTCACAGTTAAGGCAACTAATGCCCTAGTATCGCAAAATCCTTTACAAAAGGAGATAGCTTAATAAATTCTAGATCGGGGTTTTGGGGTTTTGTATGTTACTTTCTTTTCTTCTTTTTCTTTTCATCTGCTTCCATTTTAAGCTTAACTTCGTCAGCTGTAAGAGCTCCCAGTTTCTTACTCTTTGCTTTCTTAACCTTTTCCTTGAGGGCAGCCACATCAATTTTAGTTTCAGTAGAAGCTAAACAAATCAAAAACAATACATGTAATTCTTTAGATTTTACTAAGTAAAACAAAGAATACATACTTAGGACAGTAATTTCAGAGTAGTGTTGTAATTGAAAGGTCATGTTATAAAATATAAAGCACTTGCCTAAAGGTAAGTTAGATATTAGGAAGAAACTTCAAACCAGGAGAAAACAAATAGAAAAGTACTTTAAAAACACATTAGCCGGGTGGGAAGGGATAAACTGGGAGTTTGAGATTTATAGATACTAACTACTATATATAGAAGAGGTAAACAACAAGTTTCTACTGTAGAGCACAGGGAACTATACTCAGTATCTTGCAGTGACCTATGGTGAAAAATAGTATGAAAACAAATACATGTATGTTCCTGTGTGACTGAAGTATTTTGTGCTGTACACTAGAAATTGACACATTATTAACTGACTACACTTCAATAAAAATATAAAAAACAAAAAATAAATTATACAAAAGTTGATTAAAAAATGAGTTAAAAAAACTAGTTAGTAAAAATATACACAAAAATGGCATTATAGTTATTTGGGCCATTTACTTGATTCAACTATTTAAAATTACATCTTTTCTCTTAAATTGTTTGAGATTAGATTATTTTAGTTATATTCTTTTCCACATTTGGAACTTTAGAGTATTCCTTAATATGCCAACTTTCCATCCTTCACATTAAAATTATTTAAAATTACATGACATGCAGTTTTCCTAGCTTCAGTCATTTTAATTAGCTAATCATGAAGCTATAGGTCAAAATCTACTTCATCTAATACTACATTAAAAACTAAAAGTAGTTTTCC